AAGAGCAATTATAAAAAAATTATAACTTAAGAAACAGCGATGAACATGTTATTAATCCTTTAGTCTTAAACAAATGAACAGGCCAGCATATGGTCCAAACAAAATTAGTTAAACAAACTAAGCTAATTTCTTCCACAACTACAGATGAAGAGATTGGAGATTGTTTTCTAGTACACTATAGTTCATTTTACGTACTTACGTACTAAGGAGAATATATTTTTTAAATATTTTCATAATCTTTCAATTAATAAATGGTCCCCATAAAACTGCCCTGGAATTGATTAGCTTTTTTAAAATTGTTTAACGTAAAATCATACCGTATATGCCATGTGCGTGTAACTCAACTTGTGGTGTTGGTGCTGCATAAACCCTTTTGTAGGTTTAGCAGATACCTAATTTATAACGCATTTTTAAGAACAAAGATTTATAAGTAGGCAAACCTAAAAATACTATTTTTTTCTCTTTTGTTATATTTTACCTAGCTTTTTGGATTTGTTTTCTTAGTGTCTTCAAATTTTGGGGGCAAAAAGCCACATATTCATATAGTTACTCTAGAGGTCAATCTTTCTTTAAAAAACTTAATTTAATATTTTAGTAAAAAAATTGCTCTGTTATTATATGGGTAATTTTGCATTGTTTGACTATACCAAAATCGAAAGCAAATTTCGTAAACGAAATTCAAAACGTTGCGTGGTTGACATACATGTGCGTAGTTGGTGTAGAATATTTATGTTTTTGAATGTGAATCAGAGTTGTGTGGATAAAACAGTTAAATATAAAAACGACTTTTAAACGAAAAATCATTTTGGAAATTCCAAAGAAATCTCTTCAGTGGTGGGTTAGACGCTTGTATTTCACTATAGTAAACTACCATCGGATTATAGCATTTTGAATAAGATTTAATCCGTAATTTTCCTAAGAAAAGAAATAGAAATATCGAAGCTGAGAGAACTGTTAGTTAATACAGATTTGCTGACATTGCAAATATTAACAACAGGAAGGACAAACCAATTAGAGACTAGAAAAATGAGTTTTTGAAAGAGAAAAACAGCCATTAATTACTGATGAGTAGATAAATATATTTTTCCTTAGTGTTGGTCATCACTGCGGTCCGACAGTATTTCTGTCCATTAGAGGTAATAGTCTCATTAGAGGAAGTTCATAAAAACACAAATTAGGCTTCATTGAAACTTAATCCTAAGCAATCCAAAATTAGCGATGGGATACATGGGATTTTCAAACAGAATTTTTAAACCTTTACGCACCAAATTGCCGTTGGTCTTTGACTTTGTAGATTAAAATGCTCATAATAACACGTGAGGAAGAAACATACGTCAATATTGTAGTTAATGTCATTAATCATTGCTGTATTTCACTGTTTATTTTACATTGAGGAGTGATTGGTTTTCCATACGCTGACTGTTTTAACAGGATACAAAGGGAGAAAAATACGTCAATATTGCAGTTAATAATTTCTGGATTTCACTGTTTATTTTACATTGAGGGGTGATTGGTTTTCCATACGCTGACTGTTTTAACAGGATACAAAAACACAAAGTTGCTCATTATAGTAGAATATGTGCACCCCACCGGTAGTGAAATCGGTAATTTGAGGCGTAAAGGTTGTTGTTTCATCACATAGGGGATAGATTATAATTATAGGGGGTATGTGTTTGTCAACTCAAATCGTAGATTTGTGATAGCCTTTGTATTGGAAAAAATATAAAATAAATAGTTAAGTTGTTGAATGACATTATTGACATAATATTGTATAATTTGATTACTACTTCATTATTTTCAAATTTCTCGAAACGACTTCTAATGATTGCGAAACGTGCAATAAAATTCCTCTATTTACCCAAAGAGCATTCAACTACTAGAAATCTATATATAATTCATGTAATAATTTGGATCATTTGTTAATTGCATCTTTATCTATTAGCTTGAACTAGCGTAAAACTCAGCAAATAAGAAGCACTTTAAAATCCAGTATGTTGAGGAAGATATCGATGTTGAGGTAAACGCCCTGAAGTGAGTCTCGCTACAGAAGAAAGACAAGTGCTTTGTAATGCCGATCTGTACGAGATCCTGGATTATTCGCTAGCAATCTGGTCGATAATTTCTTACTCGTTCTAATAAAACACCGGTACTCTGTTCAATATGTGTGTGTGTGTTAACTATACTTGTCAGGCATACCAGTATCAATACCGACTCTGTCCAAATAGCCCATGATTTATTGAATGCATATACTCTAACGGAAGAGAAAATGTCAGTTTTGAATAAAACTATAATGAAGTTGAAGCTAAAAATACTATCTTTGGTGGGTTCTAGTTATCTCCTTTTAACAGATAATGTAAAAGAATTACATTATTCCTAAGTAATTAAATATAATACATTGCTATAATAATAACAGTAATTTAATCAAAACTACAACAACAAAAAATGAAATGAGTAACAAACAAAATACTGTACATATTAGAAAAATGTGTAATTTGAACGAAGACTGAATTTTTATCAGTGTTGGTAAAAGTTATTTGATGTGGAGGGTTTCTTTAATCAGTAATTCCAGATTAGTCTTGGTGAAAGTTGTTTGATGTGGAGGGTTTCTTTAGTCAGTAATTCCAGATTAGTGTTGGTGAAAGTTGTTTGATGTGGAGGGGTTCTTTAATCAGTAATTCTAGATTAGTGTTGGTGAAAGTTGTTTGATGTGGAGGGGTTCTTTAATCAGTAATTCCAGATTAGTGTTGGTGAAAGTTGTTTGATGTGGAGGGTTTCTTTAGTCAGTAATTCCAGATCAGTGTTGGTGAAAGTTGTTTGATGTGGAGGGTTTCTTTAATCAGTAAATCCAGGTCAGTGTTGGCTTTGAAAAGGATATTGAAATTTGATAGGTTAAGTTCGTGTTCTATTTCTTCACTATGTTGGCGTATAGAGGAAACACAGAAGGTACTCAACTTTTTGTGTGTTTTCATCCAAATTCCCATGTGTTCATTAGCGCTAGCTAATAGGTGGCGTTTGATTTTGCCAGTATAGGAGACCTTACAGTCACCACACGTGTAAATATATACAAGCCATGAACAACTCTTTGTGTTTAGATTTCCATAAAAGGAGGACTTACAATTTCCACGCGTGTAAATAAATATAAGCCATGAACAACTCTTTGCGTTTGGTTTTGCCAGTATAGGAGACCTTACAGTCACCACACGTGTAAATATGTACAAGCCATGAAC